GATAGAGTACTGGAAAAACAATATAATCTTCAGTATCCACAAATCTGGAGGTTAATCCTATCTATCTGTGCATAATATTATTAGCATGTGAACATTATAGGTCTAGAATACAGTGGACTACTGCTAGTCTATCCCTCTACTTTTTATCATATCTTAGGGAGCTACAGTCTCAAAATAAATTTAGAGAAATACAGGGATTTATGAGAAAGAAAAAAGACCATGATAGTCTTCAACTTCTTCAAAGGTACAGTGGAAGAGGACGCTATTCTGAGGTGTTACAGATACATCTCTCAGAGACAAATGGCAGATGAGTAAGAGATAAAATGTCTTCCTATTAGTAGAACTGTTCTCTTCAAAAAGGTATAATTGAATTGGCCACTCATTGATTCTCATATGAGAAGTGAATTTGGAATTAGAAATGTTTCTCCCAAATTATGATCATATGTTGTCAGTGTTCTTATAGAGACTGGGAAGAGAATGAATCTGGGAATATTAGCCTAATTATAGCCTAACCCAGCAATAGTGTAATGTTTGCTATTCATCACATAGGTTATTAATTTAATGAGAAAATATATTTTTAAAGTATAAGAATTACCCTCAGTGACTTTTAGAACATAATCCCTGCTGAACTGGAAACTGCCTATACTTAATTGTATTTATTATATTCATAAATGGCATAAATATCGATAAGTATTAAAAACAAGTCATACAGTCTCACTCTAAAATGTGTGGGGTTGTTTTCCTCTGATGCTTTAAGAAGTCTGTTCACATCTAACATTTCTCTGTCTTGAAGTATAGATCTAAGAGCCTTTAGCCAATACATTTAGCTTAATCACCCATCCATCCAACTAACAATGAGTTCCTCTATATTATCCAATACATTATTATCAGCTTTAAATGGTGTGAGAAATGCAAAGAGAAGTGAAGTGGATTAACCATTGAGGTTATTTTTTGGAAGTGGGAATGCCCATTTATTTGGTCCTTTTTATTGAGTTTTTTTTTTTTCCACATACCATAAATTTCACTCTTTTTAGTGTACAATTCTAGGGCTAATGCATAAGTTCTGTAACCACCATGACAACAACAACAACAACAAAACAAACCAAAGAAACAAACAAAAAAACAATAGTTCTACACCACCCCAAAACTCCTTTATGTTAACGCTCAATAATTTAGTTTTACACATAATGAGTCTGAGGTGTCTGAAAGATACCCTGATGAAAATGTTCAATAAGATGAAAAATTATGACTTAGGCTTTGGAGAAAACCTGTCCTGGAAATAAAAGTTTGGCAATTTTTGTCCATAACTGGGCTAAAGTTATGGGGAAGAGACTGCCTGAAACACAACAAGGGAGTTTGAAGATGACCTTTAGAAACATTACATGGCAAGTGGAAAAAGAGGAAAGCAGTATTATAAAGGGGAAGACAAGATGGTACCATGGAAGCTAAAAAGAGAACTTTCTAAAAGGGAGAGTGATCAATTTCTTGTGTGATCAAAGCACATTAACAATACCACGTTAATAAGAACTGGAAAGCATTTTGGCAACTAGGAAGTAATCACTAACTTTAGTGAGAAAAATTTCACTGGATTGATGGTGCAGGAGCCCAACAATGCTTTGTAGAGGTAATGGGAAACTGGAACAAAGGATACAATTTTGAACAGTGGTTAATAAAACATACACCTCAAGGGAGTAAAGGCATGAATATGGTTACAAGTTGAGAAAAGACAACTTGTAAGGATAAGGCCAGAATTAGTTGCAATTACAAACACAAAAGGTAAAATGTATTGCATAAAAAGAGATTCTTCTCTCTCTCAGGCAGAGATGCTCAATAGTAGAAGCAAGCACAGAGTTCCTTGGTATCTACCCAAATGAGTTGAAAACTTGTATCCATAGAAAATCTGCGTACAAATATTTATAGCAGCTTTATTCATAATTGCCGAAATTTGGAAGCAACCAACATGTCCTTCAGCAGGTGAATGAATAAACAAATTGTGGTACATCCATACAATGAGATTTTATTCAGTGATAAAAAGAAATAATCTATCATGCCACATTTAGACATGGTAGAAACTTAAATGCATGTTATAAGTGAAAAAGTTTAGTCTGTGTAATTCCAGCTATAAAACATTCTATCAAGGGCAAACTGTGGAGACATTAAAAAGATCAGTGGTTGCCTGGAGTTCACTGGAGGGTGGGAGAAATGAATAGGTAGAGCACAGGAGAATCTGAGGACAGTGAAACTATTCTGTATGATACTGTAATGATGGAACATTATATATTTGTCAAAACCCACAGAATGTACAACACAAAGAGTGAGCCCTGAGATAAAATATGAACTGTAGCTAATACTGTATCAATATTGGCTCATCAGTCTTACCATGTGTACCAAACTAATGCAAAACGTTAATTATAGGGAAACTGTGTGTGAGAGGGATTATGTAGGAACTCTCTGTACTTTCTACTCTTTAGTAAACCTAAAATTGTCCCTTAAAAAAAAAAAAAACAAAAGCATAGAGATGTAGGATAGAGAAGTAATGAACTTTAATTTTCATAAATTAGCAGGAATAGGCATGAGTAAGTATTACTGAGAAAATGTTCTATCACATTCTAGATATTATAACCAGAATGATGGGATATGTCCTAATTGAGTTTCCCTAAAATTTCTGTGTCTAGGCATTGGCAGGCAAACAAATGAAATAAGGAAAGTAGTCACTGACTTTTGAAATATAGATGCTTATCACTGGCATTTCTATAACTGATAAATTTCTTGAAATTTAATTCATACCTTAATCTACTATTTTATTATAAATCATGAGATTGACATTGAACCATGTTACACATAATTTTAGTAAATACGGTCATTTAAAAAACTGAAAGAATCCATTCTTGAAGAAAAAAAAAATGTATTCACTTAATAGCCTGTTTCTACCAGAGTTGTAAAACATCATAAAAACAATCTTTGAATTTGTGCACAATTATATGGATTAGAAAAATAATACATATTTTAAGATACCCCAAAATGTCAGGGTCTCAAACTGTGGTCTGTAGACACCTATAAGTCCCCAAGTTCATTCAAGGGGATCTATGAGGTCAAAATAGTAACACTATGATAATCATGCTGTTCTTACCATGTTGACATTTCCAATGTTGGTACAAAAAGTAACTATAGGTAAGGCAGCTGGATAACATGAATCATGGCAGTGGCACCGAACCACTAGTAATCACTGTAGTCATCATTGTTATATATTCAGTAAAAAGCTACTTTCTCTAAGAATGTCCTTGATGAAGTAGTAAAAAATATTAATTTTATTAAATCTTGAACATACATCTTTTTAGTATTCAATGAGATGAAATGAGAAATATGCATAAAGTACCTAGGTTGCATCATAGTATGATCAATCATACTATGAGGAAACACTGAGTTGGGAGCTGACAAAGCCTCATTTATCACGAGACGCCACGTTTACTTGAAAGAACAACTGACAGGGACACCTGGCTGGCTCAGTTGGTAGAGCATGCAACTTTTAAAATTTTTTTTTAAATTAATTATTTAGAGAGAAAAAGAGAGAGAGAGCAGGAACAAGAGGGAAAGAGAATCTGAAGTGGACTCTGTGCTGAGGGCAGACCCCAATGTAGGGCTCAATCTCAGGACCCTGAGATCACTAACTGAGCTGAGAAACCAAGACTCAGGATACTTAACCAACTGTGCCACCCAGGCACACAAGCATGTGACTCATGATCTCAGGGTTTTGAGTTCAAGTGCCACATTGGGTGCAGAGTTTACCTACTTATGTAAAGAGAAAGAAGCAAGCAAGCAAGCAAGCAAGAAAAACAGAAAGAGGAAGGGAGGGAGGAAGGAAGGAAGATAAAAAGAAAAAGAAAGACTGACAACCAATGGATACGCATGTATTTGTCAATTTTCTCAAAAAAGAGCAAAGGAAACCTGTGATTTCAAGAACTCACAGTATCTCTTGCCAAAGATTTAAAAAAAAATTAAAAACAGATTAAAAAAAAACAGATTTAAAAAAACCAGATTTTTAAGTAGAAATCAGAATTTTAGAAAACTTGTATCTAATAGTATCTAATAGCTAATAGTGTGAGCTTGACGGCTTCCCCATACCTAAAAAAAATTTTTATAAGATTGGGGGTAAAATCAACAAATGTGATTTTGAAAATATTATATAAAGAAATGTGTCAACATTTGGAAGATCTACATAACCCAGTGAACCAGTATTTTCCAAATGACTAATGCATGATGTTACGAAGTCCCGTATAGGTAAAAGATCCATTCAAACTGCAAGACAAATTAATGGAATGCAATGTAAGTAAGTACTAAAAACTCATTTGTATGGTTTCCGATTCCATACTGCAACTAACTTTCAGAGACAATCACTTGAATTGTGGTGCAGTGACAAAAAGAATATCCACATTATTTTGAAGATACTTTTAAAATCTTTTTCCCTTTTCTAGCTACCTATCTTTGTGAAGCAAAACTGTTCTCATTTACTTCAAGTAAAATATCAAAATACACTGAATGCAAAAGCAGGTATCAGAACCTAGCTGCCTTCTATTAAGCTATATATTAAATACAACTATTTTAAAATGTAAAACAATGCCATTCTTATTTTTTAATAGTTTTTTAGATAAAAATGTTACTTATGTTAACATGTAACAAGCTTATTAATGTTAGTTTAAGTCTTAGTTAATAAATGTGTTTTAAATTTCTCTGTTCTGTATTTCTACAGTGATAAATGTTCTTAGATATAACCCATAAAAACAAAAGCTCTTTGGGGTCCTCAATAACTTTTGAGTATAAAGGGTTCCTGAAACTAACTAGAATACTAGAATAGACTATTCTCAGAGTGACGAAATTACCTAAAAATAAAACCATAGTTTCTAATCAGTGACTTAGAACATGATAGTAAAAGGCTGATCTGATATTTGATATAATATCATGATTAGAGCAAGTCGTAAAACATTTTCTTGATATTGACTTACAAAGAGAATTCTGTTTTACTAATTTCAGTTGTGATGTAGTCAATTTTTCTCCTCGCTGGCTTTTATTCTCTTCATCACCCTCCTCATCTTGAACTACAAAGTCATCAATAATATAATCATCTCCATCTTCATCATATTCATAATCATCTTCCTCCTCCTCATCATCATTTTCATCACTGCTTGGGCAGGATTCCTTTTCAGAGTCCTAATTAAATTAAAACATATCCTTCAGTAAATTTGTACCTTTAAATTGTAAGTATGGATATGAAATTAAAAGATTAAATCTGAAACCAAAACAATGATCCATGGAAATTAACTTCATATTGTAAGGTTAAAAAAAAGTCTTGTCGTATCAAATGTTGAACTTTTTGGATTAGGAAGAAGATGATATATCTTGGCAAATGATATAAAATGTTTAAAGTGGATATTAAGATTATAAGTTAAAAAGAGAAAGACCATATTAAACAGTCTTTCAATTTTAAAAGAGTGATAAACTGAGGCTCATGGTAAAACAGTATATTAGACACAACAGTAAAAACATGTTGAAGGATACTTGATTGAAAAATTAAATTCAAGAATTGAGAAATAGAACAGACTCAACATTTTGATTTTTATAAAAATTAAATACTTTAAGGAAAGATTTAAGAACAGTAACAAAACCAATAAAATATAACACACCTCAAAATCTCTACTACTATTGCGTCTCTGACGAGATCTTTGTTTTGAGAGTTCTTTCAGTTTCTGGAGTTGTTCTCTCTTTCTTGCAGCTAAAGTTTTTTCAGGCTTTTTTTGCTCCATCTCGACTGAAGAACATTCATCTTCAACCACTCTACGTGGACGCTTAACACCTACTTTTCTAACTAGGATATCACTATCATCACTCTCATCACTGTCATACATAACAGAGGAGATCCTTTTTCTCTTCCCTCGCTTGATATGTTCTTCTTCTAAGTCCTCTTCTAGTATTTGTCCGGGGTGTTTGTTGAGATCATCATCCTCTTGATTTGAATGCTTTTCATGATCTAGTAAGTCAATATTTCTATGTTTGTTTTTGTTCTTTTCTTCTTCATACGTTGAACTGTTGCCAGTGTTCACGAGATGCTCACAGTTACTACCATCACTTTCAACATTAATTAATCTAAGTTCTCTTTCATTTTCCAGCTTTTTATTACTATCAAACCCCTTGTTACCATCAAGATCTTCATCACTGTCAAGCTCTTCATCACTGTCAAGCTCTTCGTCGCTGTCAAACTCTTCGTTGTTGTCAAGCTCTTCATCACTATCAAATAACTGTGAGATGCTACTTCTTTTAGTCCGCCTCCAATCAACTCGAGATTTCTGCTCACGCTCTTGAGTTTTAGAATTTTTCCTTGTTTCGTGTCTTCTAACATGTACCATTTTCACTTAAGCTTCTACAAAATAAAGTTATTAGGAATATAATAATGATAACCAGATTTCAAAAACAATGTATTTATGGTACAAACTGTATTTATTTGGTGTTATAAAATGGTTCATAAAGGTAAAAATCACATAAAATATCTGAGTGAAGATGGCAGAATAGTTATTCAACAAATAATTCACTGAACATTTACGAAACAATTGCATGAACTTATTCTGAATTATGCTATATTTTGTGCTGAAAGAAATTCATAGAAAAATAATGGTTCTGTTGTTCTCCAGATTATTATCCATGGGTAGAACATATAAGCATATCTTAAGAAAAACAGTACAAAATAAGAGATAAAATTATAAAGATGCAGGAAGAACAGTATAGCAACTGCTTCACTGAAGATTTGATTGAACAGATATGATCTGATAGACTTCTAAAGGGCTGGCTATATTTCAACAAAAACAATGACAGAAAAAAGGATTTCAGGCAGGTAAAAATGGTAAGGTCAAACTGTTGCACTGAGAGAGAACATGGTATGTTAAGTAAGTAAGTGTGACCAAAAAAGTGTGAAGAAAGCCTTTATGCTGGAAAAAAAGAGATAAGTATAGAAAAATAAGGTGGGATTATCATAATCATTCATTCTTAGGCAAAGTATCCTGAACAGAGAAATGATATGAATTTGTAACACAAAGGATCAATTTATATGGAGAAAGTTATAAAGTAGTAGCTGACAAAAGACAGCATTGCAAAATTAAGAGATCACCTATTCAGTAAAACTGCAGCCTCTATATATCTTAGTAAAATGGCAATGGCTTCAAACCACTCAAAGTAAAAGATAAAATCCAACAGAAAACTTACTAACAATCCAAAATTGGGTGAAAAAATAAAGTTTCATGGTGAAGCGGAGTATGATATTGGGAAGGAAAACAAATACTGCTAAGTTTCTGATTCACAAAAGGTCGACCTCTGTTAAAATTATCACAAGTATATAACAAGGAACAATTAGAGACAAGTGAGATAACCAGAAGAACAGTAACGTGTCTTTTGTAGTTGCTAAGGAATATAGACATATGATCATAATGTAATGTGACTGACCTCATAATGTATGTATAAGAACTTACATATTCTATTGATTGCTATCTCCTTCAAAGAAATCACCTTATGAGGCTAATTATTCTGATATTTGCACCATGGCACACAATATTCTTGGACATTTTCTATAAAACACAGTATTAAAAAATATATAAAAATATGAAAATAACCCCACTCCATTTTTTTTTAATCCCAAAGAGTGGCTTAAATACCTATATTATTGACTTGCCTTAGTTTAGGAACTGTTAGCAGCTTCTAAAAATGAAATCCAATTTCAAAAGATGAATATTAATTACCATTACAGATATTTTTAAAATGTGCTCTAACTGTGAAGGTAATCCAAAAATAAAATGCCAAATTTTTTTTGAGCAATGGCAGTATCACTGAATCTAGTTTATAGCTTTCCAAGATGATTCCTTTTTTGGGTAGGTGGGAGTGGGAAATACACCATTCATTTAATTGTACAAATTCTGTTATGTTTAAAAGCAATATGACAGTTTCTACAATGAAAGAATAATGGTTGCTAAGATTATACACAAGAAATTTTCTTTATAGTGTTGGCTGAAGTGTGACCTTATGACAGTAATTGCTAGGAGATCTACTGAGCACTATAATAGCAATCTAACAAATCCTAGTCAACAGACAAAATATTCTGTTACTTGAAATTACACTTGGGTTGCATATTACAGAAGGCTTATATTAAAATCAGCAAAGATGAGAATTGTGGTCAAAGTTACCTTTAAAAAAAATCTCTGTATTACTCTTTAAAGTAAGTTCTTTATGAATCATACTGCTTCACAGTAGGTCCACCCAATTTCTTCTTCAGGTTTTAAATAGATTACTGTTGTTTTTTGTTTTGTTTTGTTTTGTTTTAAATTAAGCACCAGATAAACTAGACAGTTTATATTGTGAAGCCATATAGTACAAGTACTTTTTGAGCACAGTTAATTTGCACAAACTGTGCATGTGCCTTATACTGTAATGTCTTCCTAATGAGTCTGTCTGAATTGGGAGAAATAATGAAAAAACATTTATGAAAACAAATGACAAATATGACTTCAGTAGAAACACTAAGGCAAGGGTGAACATTAGGAACATTAAATGAAAGATGATTTTATTAGTACTCAAATTCATGTACACTAGATGACTATCTCACATAGCTATACCATGTCAAAACACAGTTACTTATCATATCAATAGGTGACTCCTGTAACAATGGTAGAATGAGTAAGAATGTGACACTATAAAAACACCAATCACTGCACATGATTAAGCTATTAAAAATCCTGTATGTACAGAATTTTTCACTACATTTTCCTATCGGTTTTTAAATCCTGACAATGATCCTAAAAGGAAGATACTCTCTACCTTCATTTATAAATATCAAAGCCAACGACATAGAGTTTAAATGACTTACCGAAGATCACACAGCTTGTTAGTGACAGAGCAGGGATTAGAAACCAGGTCTCCTGATTCCCCGTCCAGTCCTACACAATGACTGCTGCCAATATTATATTTATACAAGGTAGTAAAAATCATGCCTCTAAAATGTCAGTATTTTATCTTTCATTCATGCTAAACTTTAGTTTCATAAAATAACCATCAAAATAGTTTTAGAGTTTACAAACATGCTTTTTAAAAAAATTATGTAACAATTTCAGTGCACATGAGTTGGGCCAGACACTTCTGGAAATTGTCCATCCAATAGGTAAAAAAAGAATGTGCAAAAGAGATGAAAATTTGAGACTTCCCTCTACCATCTTATTGATGACACTGATCACAAAATTTAAGGATTCCCCGTTGAGACCAAAAGTAAAAATTTCAAAAAAGGCAGTCTCTGGTGAGAGGAAAAAAAAATTTTATTTGGGAACTGCAGTACTGAATATTTGAAAAAGCAAATTTTTTTAAAATAAAATAAATCAAGTTACATATGTCCAACTGCCAAATTTCCAGTTCTCTCTTCATATTTCAAAACCGCTATTTTATCAATAGCATCAAAAATTCTGTCATTGAAAACGAACATAATTTAAATATGGTTGGCTCCTCTTTTAAAATTGTGAATACTTCTATGTTAGCTGGGGAGGGAAGAATGATGACAGAAGGAAAGGGTGAGTGAACTGAACCTGAGGAGATAAATGAGAAGGTGAAGCTGGGTTGATGAACAAGCCATCTCTTGGTCTTTAGAATTCAATTAAAAAAAAAAAATCCATGCAATGGATGTAATTTCTTTATATGCTGAGTATACACTCAACTTCTTGAAGTGAGAATTTAATCAGGCTTCTTTAATGATACCTTACCTTTAGGCAAAGAAAAAAACAAAGACTCCATAGAGAAAGCATTAAATAAATGAAGACGATCAATACTATCACATCTTCGTGCTTCATAGTTAATATCACATAGAAGGCACACACATTGCTATGCTGTCTGCCAAAGAATTTAAGTTAAAGGTAAGAATCCATATTGCTCTCTCACCCACAGGAACTCTACAACTAAAAGGTACTTTGATGATACCACTTGAATTTCTAATCAGAAGAAATACCCTTTAGTCTAGACTTTGAGGTTAACTCATCCTAAAGAAAAGATGCATTCTAGGAATCATTTGCCCCATCAGGTGACCGTTTACATTTTTAAAGTTTGAAGGGCAGTGAAAGCCCAGCCATTATTTGACGAAGGGGTGCATTCCTATTTGTAAAAAAACACCCCTCCCTGATGTTTCCTTTTATACGATAGTTTGGAGAGTAAACCTTAATTGATCAAAGAAATGGTTATTGAATGTACACACTATGTGCCAGCACATGCTCAGAGCTGTGGGTGTTACTAGAAGAAATCAACGACACAGTCTCTGCTCCCAAGGAGCTCACAGTCTGATGAAATTACTAGGGACAGCAAAACAAGCCGGCATAATACATGACTTACAGTGTATGATTCTGATTACATTCTTCTCACATTGCTATGAATAAATTCACCCCAGTTCTTCCATTGCTAGAAAACAGGACAGCACAACATGACAGAAATAGAATATGGGAAGATAACATAAAGAGAGGAAAGCCAATGTGCCCCACTTAGAATCACAAACCAAGCTCCACAATTTCGCATAGAGTGCATCCTGCCAGCTTGGCTTCCGGGACAACTACAGTATTCATTAAAATCTTGAACACTGAAGGTGATTCTCTAAATCCAGCAGGGTTGAGTGGCAGAGGAAGGATCCCCTCGGGAATTAACACCAGAGTCATTTTCCTGATAACAAACCTGGCTCTTTGGCGGGAACGCAGGTACCCAGCGCAGCACGTCCGCCCGTCCGCTACTCTGCCTCCGGGAAAGAGGGGCACCGTAGCTCGGAAACCGGACCCTTAGACCGAGCTTCACGATGACGTGCGAGGGACGACACAAACCCCCAGGGCTCGGAGGAGCTCCGCACCCAGAAAACCAACAAGGGTCTGGAAAGGCCAGAAGCCCTCGAAATCACTCGAGCTCCCCCCAACAGCCCTGCCCACTTCCCTACTGCGGAAGAAACTGGCACCCCGCCCACTGTAGCTCAGCCCGAGCGGAGGGCTAGCGGAGAACGACGTTGAGGGGTGTCGTCCCGCCCACCCCGAGGGCCCGCGGGAATTTTTCTTTCCCGCCTGCCGGGAGGCGCGGCTTCCCCAGCTCTGTTAATAAACCATTAGCAGCTTGAGCAAGAGCGAGTCCCCGCCCCGAGCTGTCCCCGCACCGCCCCGCGCCCTCACCTTTCAAAGCTCCTCCGCCTCTGCCTCCGCCTTTGCCTCCGCCCCAGGTACCCACACCAGACTGGAGGCGCTCTTCCTCCTTCCGGGGGCCAGGGGAAGTCCCGCCTCTGGGAGGAGCAAGGGGCGGAGCCGGCAGCGGGAGGGGGCATCTTCCGGGAGCGTGTGCTTGGGGAGGAGCGGTCGCCGCGGGTTAGTCAGGGAGCGGTGCGGGTCCTGGTTCCAGTTGAGGTGGGGAGAGGGGCCCGGCGGGCTGTGAGGGACCGGGAGGATTGTCCAGGCTAAGCCCAGCGCGGGGAAGTGTGGCTTGCGGTGGAAGGGGTTGGCTTCTGGGGAAGAAATCAAACGTAACCTTTCATTTGGGGAAGGGGGCTAGTCCCCGACTCCCTGGTTCTTCCGCTCTCTGCAGTAAGTTTGGGGTGTGGCAGGGGCTAGTGACGGGCGTTTACCCTGCATCAGGGCGTGAAGGAGGTTTGTGGTCACGATGGGGTTATAGTCTTTAACGCGGCCACTGGGGGAATAAAACAAATGTTTGTAATCCGGATTATCCGCGGTGGCTTGGGGCCTCCTCTACTGCCCAGCTGAGTTAAAGGCCTGTTCCCTCAAACTTCTTCCCCTCTCATCTTCCTCTGCTGTCTCTTTGCCAGCCAAGCACATCCGGGGACGGGGTCAGGGCCACCAGGTTCCTGGGAAGGCTAAAAGACTGAGTGTGTAGGACTGTTAACTCGAGTTTGTGTGTAGGACTGTTAACTCGAGTTTGTGTGAAAGAAGGAAGGATTTTGTAGATTGCTTCAGAGCGAGTGTGGGGTGAGGCCCTGAGTCCCAGAGCCTCAGCATGTCAGGGAAACGGAAGCGAGTGGTGTTAACTATTAAAGATAAGCTTGATATAATAAAAAAACTTGAAGACGGAGGTTCTTCCAAACAACTGGCAGTGATTTATGGAATTGGTGAGACAACAGTTCGGGATATAAGAAAAAATAAGGAAAAAATTATAACTTATGCAAGCAGTTCTGATTCCACAAGTCTTCTGGCCAAGAGGAAATCTATGAAACCATCCATGTATGAGGAACTGGACAAAGCAATGCTAGAATGGTTCAACCAGCAAAGGGCAAAAGGGAATCCCATATCTGGACCGATTTGTGCAAAAAGGGCAGAGTTCTTCTTTTATGCTTTGGGAATGGATGGTGATTTTAACCCCTCTGCTGGTTGGTTAACTCGTTTTAAGCAGCGGCACAGCATTAGAGAGATTAATATTAGAAATGAAAGATTAAATGGAGATGAGACTGCTGTGGAAGATTTTTGTAACAACTTTCGAGACTTTATTGAACGAGAGAATTTACAGCCTGAACAGATCTACAATGCAGATGAAACTGGACTCTTTTGGAAATGCCTGCCTTCCAGGACTTCTGTGATCAAAGGTAAATGCACTGTCTCTGGGCACAAGTCAATTGAAGAAAGAGTCACTATCATGTGTTGTGCCAATGCAACAGGTTTACACAAACTGAAACTTTGTGTTGTGGGGAAAGCAAAGAAGCCTCGTTCCTTCAAGTCAACTGACACCTCAAACCTGCCAGTCTCTTATTTCAGCCAAAAAGGTGCATGGATGGATCTTTCCATTTTCCGACAGTGGTTTGACAAGATCTTTGTGCCACAGGTTCGAGAATACTTAAGATCTAAAGGCCTGCAGGAAAAGGCTGTGCTCTTGTTGGATAATTCACCAACACATCCAAATGAAAACGTCCTTAGGTCAGATGATGGCCAAATATTTGCTAAATATTTACCACCTAATGTGGCTTCATTGATCCAGCCCTCGGATCAGGGAGTCATAGCGACAATGAAGAGAAATTATCGTGCGGGTCTTCTTCAGAACAACTTGGAAGAGGGTAATGACCTGAAATCGTTCTGGAAGAAGCTAACTCTGCTAGATGCACTTTATGAAATAGCAATGGCATGGAATTTAGTAAAGCCAATTACCATTAGCAGAGCATGGAAGAAGATTCTTCCTACCATAGAGGAGAAAGAAGGCTTGGACTTTGATGAAGAAGATGTTTCTGTGGCTACTGTGGCCACCATTTTACAGCATACCAAAGGACTGGAAAATGTGACTACTGAGAACATCGAAAAATGGCTTGAAGTGGACAGTACTGAGCCAGGCTATGAAGTGTTAACTGACAGTGAAATCATCAGAAGAGCGCAAGGCCAGACAGACGAATCTAGTGAAAATGAGGAGGAGGAAATAGAACTGATTCCAGAGAAACATATTAATCATGCAGCTGCTCTCCAATGGACTGAAAATTTATTGGATTATCTAGAGCAACAAGGTGATATGATTCTGCCTGATAAACTGGTGATCCGTAAACTTCGAGCCACCATCAGAAATAAACAGAAGATGACAACCTCAAGTCAATAATGGCATTTCATTGTTACATTGTTTCAATAATTGTGTTTGTAACTCTTAACCTCTGCAGTGTGGCTTAATTTTCTTTGTGTTCTCAATTCTCAGTCACAGCCCTATGAAATGTAGATACAAAAATGTGTCTGAAGTAGTTCAAGGATTATGTGTTTTGCATCATCTCTGTCTTCTTTTTCATTTGTGCAGATAATTGGAAGCCGATTCTGTATAAATTACCTATACACATGCATTCATTTTTGTAGATCTGCGATTATCCCTTCTATTACAGTGGCATTCCCTAAACTTTCTAAAAAAAAAAAAAAAAAGAAAGAAAATTACAGATAACAGTGAACAGATTGAGCACTTTCCTGAAATCTGTTGTTTGGTTTTATGAGAGCTGCCACGGTAATCTTTTCTTGTATTAACATCATAAATGGTTATGTTTTGTGTATTTGTATACACTGACAGAACGAGAAATATCTATCTTTTAGATTTCAGGGTGATCTGCAGTAATTAAAAGTGAAGTCCAATAATGAGGAAACTGATCTATGAATTACAAAAATAACTTAGAAACCATACTTCTGTTCTCTTATGTTTGTTTAGGTGGTAAGAGGGGGAGATTTTTCTGGAAATAAATATATAGGAAGTGATTATTAAATTAGTAAGAAAACTGAAAGCTAATACATAAAAGATTCTGATCTATCCATTCGTAGAAAACTGTGA